AAAGAGATGTTGTGCATTGAATTGGTATTAAAAAATCAAATATCTCTAATGGGAAAATGTACACAACACTGCTTGGCTCGTACACTCTAACAGAACGGATGAAGCTGGACGTCAAGCCGAAGCTTTCGCCATCACTCACGGCTTAGAGCAGCTTATCAAGGAACCCACACGAATTCCCGATGCCAATAACCATTCAGCTAACATACTTGACTTATTCCTCACTAATAATTCAGCACCCTACACCATAGATGTACGAGCTCCACTTGGCAATTCTGACCACACACTCATCTCCACAACCTGCCCATTTTTCATTCCATCAACTGATCCGGCACCCCCACGTCGTATATGGCATTACAACTCAGGAGATTGGGACGGTCTCCGCATGTTTTTCTCCGAGTTTCCTTGGCATAGAGTATGCTTTGAATCTGAGGACCCTTCACAGTGTGCTGCGGAAATATCCGAGATCATCATGCTCGGAATGGACACATACATACCTCATTCTTCGAAAAGATCATCACCATCGAAACCCTGGTTCAACAAAAACTGTTCTAGAACTGTTGCCTTGAAACAAACAGCCTACCATCGCTGGCGCAAAAACCCTAACCTCGCGACTAGAGCAGAATACGTTGATGCCAGAAATAACTGCAGCCAAACAATAGATGCTTCGAAAGAAACACACAATGCCAAGATAAGATCGAAACTCATAGATTGTCCCAATGGCTCCCGTTCGTTTTGGTCCCTTGCTAAAGCGGTCGGAAGAAATTTCACTAATAGTTCATTTCCACCACTGTCCAAATCCGACGGCACAATAGCAACAACATCGCAGGAGAAAGCAAATATTTTTGCGGAGATTTTCGCAGCAATCTCTACTTTAGATTCCCAAGGAAAAGTGCCGCCAGACATTCCACCCGTTGAGAGTCGAATGCCCGAAATCGTCTTCCGTCAACGCACTATCAGACGAATTTTGCTTGGTCTCAAAACGAATAAGGCTAACGGTCCTGATGGAATTCCACCCATTATCCTCAAAAAATGTGCACCAGAATTAACACCGATTCTCTGCAAGTTGTTTACCATCTCGTACAGGTCGGGTATTTTTCCATCATGCTGGAAGACAGCTAGAGTCCAACCAATCCCCAAAAATGGGAACAAGAACCTGCCCAACAACTACAGGCCCATTGCCCAGTTATCAGTAATCTCCAAAGTGATGGAGAAAGCCATCAACATTGAGCTCATCAAATATCTGGAGAGCTCGGGAATCATCAATGATAGACAATACGGCTTTCGCCATCGAAGATCTACTGGAGATCTACTTGCCTACGTCACCCATTTATGGCAATCTTCAATTGAAAAACACGGGGAATCTCTAGCTGTCGCTTTGGACATATCGAAAGCATTTGACCGTGTTTGGCACGAAGGACTTCTCCACAAACTACCATCATACGGCTTACCACCTCAGCTATGCCATCTCTTATCGAGTTTTCTTTCAGGCAGATCGCTTCACGTGGTGGTGGACGGTGTATCGTCTGAAACCATTGGGATCAATTCCGGCGTTCCACAAGGATCAACTTTGGCACCAACATTATTCCTGCTTCATATCAATGATCTGTTGGGAGTAACAACTTGCCCCATCCACAGCTTTGCAGATGATAGTACCCTCCATACTGCGTTCTCTTCCAGAATTCCCATTTCTTCCCAGGAAACTAAGAACTCACGGCGCAGGCAGGTCAATGCTGTCAATGAAGACCTTGCTGAAATCACAGCCTGGGGAACAAAAAACCTAGTTGAATTCAACGCCACCAAAACTCAAGCCTGCATTTTCTCTAGAAAGGCGGAACTCAGTATGCCCGATATTGTAATGTCTGGCTCCACCATCCCCACTAAGCCCACCATATCTATGCTCGGTATTTCCATCAGCAACACTCTTTCATGGGATAATCATGTCAGATCCATCGCAAAAGCTGCTTCACAAAAACTCGGATTCTTGTTCCGTGCGAAAAGCTACTTTACACCTGAACAGCTTCTCATGATCTACAAAGCGCAGATACGGCCTGTTCTAGAATACTGTTCCCACATATGGGGTTCAGCACCAAAACATACGCTGATGCTCTTAGATTCCATCCAGAGAAGAGCCATTCGCCTGGTGGGTGACGCCACACTCACTCACTCTTTGACATCATTGGAACACCGTAGAAAGGTCGGCGACCTTTCACTTTTCTATCGATACTTTCACGGGAAATGTTCTTCGGAAATCTCTGCTATCATCCCTTCACTCGCAATACCAGTCAGACGAACTAGACAAGCCCAGTCAGCACATCCCTTCGTTGTCAACCTCGAAAGATGTCGAACAGCACTTTATCAAGACTCCTTCATCCATAGAACGGCTAGGCTCTGGAATTCATTGCCTGAGGAAGTATTCCCAACAACATATAATCTCCAGAAGTTCAAAAAAAATTCCAATACCTACCTCCTATCCCTATCCTCCCTAGGAACGCACGATGTTCTTTGAACATTATAGGGATTCCCTCTCGTGCGCTCCAAGCGATAAAAAAAAAATAATTTCTCTCAAAGAAAAAACACAATATGGCGTTTGTTTGAAAACCATAATGGAATATTGTAAGACAGGATGGCCAAAAAAATTCTCACAAACAGTCAATGAAATCAATCATTTTTTCAAAATCAAAGATCAAATTGAACTCAGTGAAAACTTGTTATATTATGATTCAAGATTGATAGTTACGAAAATTCATCTGAGAACTATTACATGAAAAACATACAGGTTTTTAAAAAATGAATAAAATCGATCGACATTTCTTTTATTGGCCTGCTTTTACTAGTGATTTGAAAAACTTTCAATTGTTATATACCGGGTGACACAGGGTATCGGGCCACCCTTGTAACTTCTGCATTCGTCAACGGATTTTTCTGAAATTCGGTACAGTTACATAAGCAATCATTTCGGATTTGATCACATCACAATCCAATATGGCGGACTTCCGGTATTTCTGGAAATGCCAGCAACTTTGTTTTTTCAAATGAAACACCCTGTATATTTTTACATATTCAAGTTCAACAGGTCGAAACAAATGCAATCTTTATTTCAAATGTCATTTTTTCGAAAGAATTTAAATTAAAATTGTTTTTTCATTTTACCTCGTGGATAAATGAGATGTTGTCAAGACTATTCAGAATGAGTCACACATAACAGAAGAACATAATTTTTTCTGAAAAATTATTTTTTGTGTCACTTATCCAGGAATCAATTCAGCCACATCACTTTTTGATCAAAAATTATTTTTTTTCAAACGGAACCCCTATGGGCCACTTACCCGTCTCTCTAGAACATACATTAAGGAACAAAATGACATATCATTTTTGTTTTTCGGTGCAGTAACAAATTGTATACATTCAAAAATCAACAACTAGTTTATGAATTTCCTTGCAGTTAGAATAATTCTTCAACTAGGTAGGCTGTGGAATAAATGACATTTGACATCAAGAATGCACTTGTTTTGACCTGTTGAATTTAAATATGTAAAAATATACAGGTTGTTCCATTTGAAAAAACAAAATTGCTGGCATTTCTAGAAAAACCGGAAGTCCGCCATATTGGATTGTAATGTGATCAAATCCGAAATAATTGCTTATATAACTGTACAGAATTTCAGAAAAATCCGTTGACGAATGCAGAAGTTACAGGGGTGGCCCGATAACCTGTGTCACCCGGTATGTAATGAATTTATGACATCCAAGAAACAGGAAACCCTGTTGACCAACGAAATCCCAAATATTCCATTTTACAAACTTGCTGCAGATATTGCGGAATGGGGTGGAGAAAGTAATTTCGTTATTAATAGACTACTCAAGATGGATTGAAGTTTCTATAAAAAATAGTAAGAATACATTGACAATCATTTCACAGTGCAAATGATTTTTGCCCGTTTTAGTATACCACAAGAATGGATTGCTGATAATGTCCCATTTAATAGCTCTGAATTCAAAAAATTTGCTTGTGATTGGAACCTTATCATCCTGAGCCAAATGGGTTAGCAGAAAAAGCTGTTGACATTGTGAAAGATATGTTGAAGTAAATTTATGAATCAAAAAAATATCTCGAATTATTTTTATAGAATTATAGAAATGCCCCAGTGGCAAATTTAGATTATTCACCGTCTCAGTTGTTGTGTAGTAGAATTTTGAGATTCAAGTTACCTGTAGTATATGTACTGGACAATTTAAATTAGCCGCCTAAATGTTATACGCGTATGTCATATATCCCCCCTACATATAAAATTACTATAGGTCACATATATGTACAAAAATGTACGAGCTACTACCACTTGTGATGTGTTCTTCAAATAAACAAAATCGAATCACATTCTTGTTTAATTGAACCATCAGATAATAGTAAATTGTGGAATAATTTAGCAAGGACACCACAAATTGGCGACGAGGATATTTTCTAAGAAAAACCCAGAGCAGGGCAAGTTCTTTCAAGACAAAAAGTTGTGCCGGTTTCGTGAGTGAATCAGTGAATCATTTGCCACGTGAACCACATTTTCGCTATGGAAACTGGTTTTGGACATTTGAGAGAATTTTCATTGAGGAAATCGGACTGGTCAATCTTCAAGGCACGGTTAGAGAACTACTTCGTTGCAAATGGTATCAAAAGTAACGATGGTAATGAGCAAATGCGCGCAATACTACTAAACTCGTTGGACGAAGATGCATATCAGCTGATTTTTGACCTGGTGAGTCCACTGAAACCTGAACAGAAAAGCTACGACGATTTGGTGAAGCAGTTCAACGAACATTTTAAACCGCAGCACAGTGCGTTCGCGAGTCGATATATATTTTATACGGCAGTAAAAGAACCGTCAGAGACAGTCAATGAGTGGGCTGCAAGATTACGCGGTTTAGCCGTGGGATGTGAGTTTGGGGCGAACGAGCTAAAAATGTGCTTAAGGGACAGATTTATTTTCGGATTTGGTAAGGGACCTATTATGGACCGGCTGATGGAGGAAAGTATTGCATCGGACTTTGAAGATATGGTAAGGTTGGCAGCATCTAAGATGGCGGCCAAAAACGTGCAAGAGGTGATGATGGTGAAGCAGGAGCCGATCAACCATTTCAGACGTGGGGGCATGCGCAGATACCAAGGAGGCGCATCGTCGTCAGCACATGCAGGAGAAGGAGAACAACAGCTACGTCACCAGCCACGTCACCAGCCACGTCAGCATGGTGGGGTAAGCCCAGCTGTTTTGATGTTTGGTAGGACCTTAAGAAACCGGTTTTCGACTCTTTTACCCGAAAGAAACGGTTCAGATACTACTGACATAGTGCAACTGGAACCAATTGATGACCAAGTACGTGAAAGGGTCGAAAAACGGCAGAAACAACAAATAATAAATTCTAAAGGAAAAAATACAGTGAGTTTTGATGTAGGTGAAATAGTTTTAGTAAAAGACTACCGGAACAATGTAACCGAACCTTCATTTATTAAGGCTAAAATTGTAAAAAAAATTGGAAAACGTACTTACTTGGCTGAAGTACCAGAATTACAGAAGACATGGAAAAGACATTGTAACCAAATAAGAAAATCAGGCTTAGTAACGTCACATATTCCTGTTCTGACTTCTGATACTTCTGTGGTTGAGGAGGATATGGATAACGATGAAAATATATCTGCATCAGATAGGGAAAATAATGAAAGAAATATCGTCTCAGTGGAGCGGCCTAAACGATTAATTAAACCTATAGACAGGCTAATATATGCATGAAATGAAAATTGTGAATGTGTAGGTATAATATTAAGTATAATTTGGTACGATTGTTAGTTCAATTATTATATTATAGTTTAGTTATATATTTTATAATATAAAATAGCATTTCATTGATTGCGATGGTGAAGTTTTTTTTTAAAGGGGAGGATATTGTAGTATATGTACTGGACAATTCGAAAATTTCTAGCCACTTTGTATAAGCATCGACTACTACAAGATATGATTTTTTATTCACTTCACAAAAATCCACATGTAACCTCTCCCAAGGACCTTGTGGCAAGGGCCAAGGTGAAATTTCGCTTTTAGGGCTACTACTATAATGTACAATACAGGCTCTACAACTTTTAACAGTTTCTTCTATTTGTTTATCTAGATTTGGAAACCACAAGTAACCACGTGCTAAACTTTTCATTTTGACCACCCCTAAATGAGTATTATGTAACTGCTTCAGAGCCTCTCCTTGCAAAGAATCTGGAATGACTATTCTATGGTTCCACATTATACAATCATTTCTTATATCAAACTCAAGCCTTTTCACAAAATATGGTTTCAGTACAGGGTCATTCGTTTTTCTAGGCCAACCCCTATGAATGAAACTTTTTATCTTATTCAAAATAGGATCAGCTAAGGTAGCCTTCCTTATTGAATCAAAATCAAATGTGAATCCAGAATCGTTATTAAAAAAATAGCAATAATCTACATCCAAATTATCATCATTCAGTGAATTCGCATTATTGTCATTCACTGGCAAACGCGATAACCAATCTGCACCATTTTTTTTGCTTGGTACATACTCAATTTTATAATTGTATCCTGATAAAATGACTGCCCAACGTCTCAATCTGTTGGCAGCAAACTGAGGAATTGCTTTATGTTCTCCAAAAATTGTTAAAAGAGGTTTGTGATCTGTAACTAACGTAAAATTATTGGCATACAAGTATTGATTGAATTTAATTACTCCATAAACAATGGCCAAACCTTCTTTTTCAATTTGAGCATAATTTAACTCAGATTTGGAGAGTGTTCTAGAGGCAAAAGCTATGGGCTTTTCTTCGCCAGAGGGCAACTTATGACTCAAAATCGCCCCAAGTCCTATAGAGGAGGCATCTACAGTTAGCCTTAGTTCCCACTGTGGGTTGAAATGCACAAGGACCTCATTTGACTTCAAAACCTCTTTAACCCGATCAAAAGCATTGTCACAGTGTACATTCCAATTCCATTTCACGTCATTTTTTAGCAAATTATACAATGGACTCAAAATTGTGGACATATTTTTTACAAATCTACCATAATAATTTATGCTACCCAAGAAGGATTGCAACTCCTTCACATTTTTGGGCCTTGGGCTTCTATCTATAGCAACAGTTTTATTTTTTGAAGGATGCAAACCTTCCTCATCTATTACAAAGCCTAAATATTCCACGGATTTCCTAAAAAATTGACATTTATCAAAATTTACCTTCAACCCAGCATCTTTCAAAATATTCAAAACCTTCTTTAAATTTTTAAAGTGTGAAAATTTATCTTCACCAGTTATTAGAATATCGTCCTGAAAAACTACAACACCCTGTACTGAACTCAATAGGGAATCCATGATTTTTTGAAATTTAGCAGGTGCACATGAAACCCCGAAAGTTAAGCGATTATACCTATACAATCCTAAGTGTGTGGAAATTGTCAGAAGTTCCTTGCTATGATCATCCACTCCAATTTGCTGGAAGGCTTGAGACAGATCTAACTTGGAGAACTCTCTTCCACCTTGCAGTTTGCAAAAAAGCTCTTCTATTCTAGGAAGTGGATGTTGGTCTACCTCAATTTCTGGATTTATTGTAACCTTGAAGTCTCCACAGATCCGAATGTCTCCATTTTTCTTGAAAACTGGTACGATAGGGGTAGCCCAGGAACTGTAGTTTACTGCTGATATTACACCTAGAAGTAAAAGACGGTTAATTTCTGCTTCTACTTGAGTTTTAATAGCAAAAGGAATAGGTCGCGCTCTCATGAATTTTGGAGGTACATCAGGATTTTTCAGATTAATTTTTTCAACGCCTTTCTTGAAATAACCCAATCCTGGAGCAAAAACTTCGGGGAATTCACCAACTAAACCCTCCAAGTCATTATTCATATAATGCACTGATGTGATACCCATTTTGAAAATTTGTAAAAAATCTCTACCAACTATTGGTGGCCCCCCATTTTCGATAACAAAGAATTTCACATAATTTTCCTTTTCTTCACAACCCACTTTCATATCCAGAAAACCTAAAGGACTAATCTGGTCGCCATTATATAAGATGAAATTTTTATTTGTTGGTTGAAGTGGTTTAGACAAAAAGTGTCGTGAGTAAATTTCATCAGAGAAACAAGAAATACCACTTCCTGAATCAATTTGAAAAACCAAGGGCTTACCTTCTACCAAGAGCTCTACGGTAAAAGGTTCATTGAAATTTCTTTTCTTATCAAAAATATTAAACAAAGAAATATCATCACTATTTCCTGACACTTCATCATTTTCTTCCCCTATAAAGTTTTGCCTATAACTACCTCTGAATTTATTATTACTATTATTATTTTTACAAACTGCGGCAAGATGTCCTGGTTTTTTACAAAGAATACAAATTGAATTTTTATAAAAACACTTATCTTTTAGATGGTTTGTTCTGCCACAAACCTCGCACATCGCAGGAGAAAGCAAATATTTTTGCGGAGATTTTCGCAGCAAACTCTACTTTAGATTCCCAAGGAAAAGTGCCGCCAGACATTCCACCCGTTGAGAGTCGAATGCCCGAAATCGTCTTCCGTCAACGCACTATCAGACGAATTTTGCTTGGTCTCAAAACGAATAAGGCTAACGGTCCTGATGGAATTCCACCCATTATCCTCAAAAAATGTGCACCAGAATTAACACCGATTCTCTGCAAGTTGTTTACCATCTCGTACAGGTCGGGTATTTTTCCATCATGCTGGAAGACAGCTAGAGTCCAACCAATCCCCAAAAATGGGAACAAGAACCTGCCCAACAACTACAGGCCCATTGCCCAGTTATCAGTAATCTCCAAAGTGATGGAGAAAGCCATCAACATTGAGCTCATCAAATATCTGGAGAGCTCGGGAATCATCAATGATAGACAATACGGCTTTCGCCATCGAAGATCTACTGGAGATCTACTTGCCTACGTCACCCATTTATGGCAATCTTCAATTGAAAAACACGGGGAATCTCTAGCTGTCGCTTTGGACATATCGAAAGCATTTGACCGTGTTTGGCACGAAGGACTTCTCCACAAACTACCATCATACGGCTTACCACCTCAGCTATGCCATCTCTTATCGAGTTTTCTTTCAGGCAGATCGCTTCACGTGGTGGTGGACGGTGTATCGTCTGAAACCATTGGGATCAATTCCGGCGTTCCACAAGGATCAACTTTGGCACCAACATTATTCCTGCTTCATATCAATGATCTGTTGGGAGTAACAACTTGCCCCATCCACAGCTTTGCAGATGATAGTACCCTCCATACTGCGGTCTCTTCCAGAATTCCCATTTCTTCCCAGGAAACTAAGAACTCACGGCGCAGGCAGGTCAATGCTGTCAATGAAGACCTTGCTGAAATCACAGCCTGGGGAACAAAAAACCTAGTTGAATTCAACGCCACCAAAACTCAAGCCTGCATTTTCTCTAGAAAGGCGGAACTCAGTATGCCCGATATTGTAATGTCTGGCTCCACCATCCCCACTAAGCCCACCATATCTATGCTCGGTATTTCCATCAGCAACACTCTTTCATGGGATAATCATGTCAGATCCATCGCAAAAGCTGCTTCACAAAAACTCGGATTCTTGTTCCGTGCGAAAAGCTACTTTACACCTGAACAGCTTCTCATGATCTACAAAGCGCAGATACGGCCTGTTCTAGAATACTGTTCCCACATATGGGGTTCAGCACCAAAACATACGCTGATGCTCTTAGATTCCATCCAGAGAAGAGCCATTCGCCTGGTGGGTGACGCCACACTCACTCACTCTTTGACATCATTGGAACACCGTAGAAAGGTCGGCGACCTTTCACTTTTCTATCGATACTTTCACGGGAAATGTTCTTCGGAAATCTCTGCTATCATCCCTTCACTCGCAATACCAGTCAGACGAACTAGACAAGCCCAGTCAGCACATCCCTTCGTTGTCAACCTCGAAAGATGTCGAACAGCACTTTATCAAGACTCCTTCATCCATAGAACGGCTAGGCTCTGGAATTCATTGCCTGAGGAAGTATTCCCAACAACATATAATCTCCAGAAGTTCAAAAAAAATTCCAATACCTACCTCCTATCCCTATCCTCCCTAGGAACGCACGATGTTCTTTGAACATTATAGGGATTCCCTCTCGTGCGCTCCAAGCGATAAAAAAAAAAAATAATTTCTCTCAAAGAAAAAACACAATATGGCGTTTGTTTGAAAACCATAATGGAATATTGTAAGACAGGATGGCCAAAAAAATTCTCACAAACAGTCAATTGAATCAATCATTTTTTTAAAATCAAAGATCAAATTGAACTCAGTGAAAACTTGTTATATTATGATTCAAGATTGATAGTTACGAAAATTCATCTGAGAACTATTACATGAAAAACATACAGGTTTTTAAAAAATGAATAAAATCGATCGACATTTCTTTTATTGGCCTGCTTTTACTAGTGATTTGAAAAACTTTCAATTGTTATACACCGGGTGACACAGGGTATCGGGCCACCCTTGTAACTTCTGCATTCGTCAACGGATTTTTCTGAAATTCGGTACAGTTACATAAGCAATCATTTCGGATTTGATCACATCACAATCCAATATGGCGGACTTCCGGTATTTCTGGAAATGCCAGCAACTTTGTTTTTTCAAATGAAACACCCTGTATATTTTTACATATTCAAGTTCAACAGGTCGAAACAAATGCAATCTTTATTTCAAATGTCATTTTTTCGAAAGAATTTAAATTAAAATTGTTTTTTCATTTTACCTCGTGGATAAATGAGATGTTGTCAAGACTATTCAGAATGAGTCACACATAACAGAAGAACATAATTTTTTCTGAAAAATTATTTTTTGTGTCACTTATCCAGGAATCAATTCAGCCACATCACTTTTTGATCAAAAATTATTTTTTTTCAAACGGAACCCCTATGGGCCACTTACCCGTCTCTCTAGAACATACATTAAGGAACAAAATGACATATCATTTTTGTTTTTCGGTGCAGTAACAAATTGTATACATTCAAAAATCAACAACTAGTTTATGAATTTCCTTGCAGTTAGAATAATTCTTCAACTAGGTAGGCTGTGGAATAAATGACATTTGACATCAAGAATGCACTTGTTTTGACCTGTTGAATTTAAATATGTAAAAATATACAGGTTGTTCCATTTGAAAAAACAAAATTGCTGGCATTTCTAGAAAAACCGGAAGTCCGCCATATTGGATTGTAATGTGATCAAATCCGAAATAATTGCTTATATAACTGTACAGAATTTCAGAAAAATCCGTTGACGAATGCAGAAGTTACAGGGGTGGCCCGATAACCTGTGTCACCCGGTATGTAATGAATTTATGACATCCAAGAAACAGGAAACCCTGTTGACCAACGAAATCCCAAATATTCCATTTTACAAACTTGCTGCAGATATTGCGGAATGGGGTGGAGAAAGTAATTTCGTTATTAATAGACTACTCAAGATGGATTGAAGTTTCTATAAAAAATAGTAAGAATACATTGACAATCATTTCACAGTGCAAATGATTTTTGCCCGTTTTAGTATACCACAAGAATGGATTGCTGATAATGTCCCATTTAATAGCTCTGAATTCAAAAAATTTGCTTGTGATTGGAACCTTATCATCCTGAGCCAAATGGGTTAGCAGAAAAAGCTGTTGACATTGTGAAAGATATGTTGAAGTAAATTTATGAATCAAAAAAATATCTCGAATTATTTTTATAGAATTATAGAAATGCCCCAGTGGCAAATTTAGATTATTCACCGTCTCAGTTGTTGTGTAGTAGAATTTTGAGATTCAAGTTACCTATACATGAAGCCAAATTGACTGCTAAATCAGTACCAAATGATCGATGATATGATAAAAATTAGGGTAAATCAGAAATTATATTATGATCAAAAATGCAAAAAATTGAGTGATGAATTCGAAAGTGGGGAAGAAATATGGTTACAAAATATTAACACAAGGATTTGGGAGCCTGCTATAATTATAAAGAAATTGAATGTACCAAGATCATACCTGGTGCAATCAATAAATGGAACTGTAATACGGTGCAATACAATTCACATTAGACAATTGTCTAGATTTCCATTTTCATTTGCATTTGCATGATTTTCATTCGTCTTTACCAACTGACTTAAAAAATTATTATTTAGAATTAGATCATAACTACCATTCAAATAACACATGCGGGGAATACAACAATTGGACACACAGTATCTCGCATACTACATAGGTATTTGGAAAATAACTTTGTCTTAATTTTGAGTTGAAAATAATTCGATTTTTTTTTTAAATATTGATGCATATTTTTTTAAGGGATTATTATTAGTATCATTATTATTATCACTATGCATTCACTGGATATGATAGGTGTCCCTTAAAGGATTAGGATTGATGAGTGCTGAAGTTATTCATAGCCATATATGGAATATGGTTCACTCTGTGTAGTCAAAAATAGCTGAAACAAAAAGTTAATACTGTTTCTAATATATATATAATATATCTTAAAGGATTAGGATTGATGAGTGCTGAAGTTATTCATAGCCATATATGGAATATGGTTCACTCTGTGTAGTCAAAAATAGCTGAAACAAAAAGTTAATACTGTTTCTAATATATTATATTGCATCCTCATTCTGGGAGGAAAACAATTAATGTGGTAGACCCTGAATACGCCTACCTACGTTTATAAAGAGTCCGTTGAAAATGTATTTTTTTTTCTCCAATAATTCTAAAAAACTAGTACAAGTTTATGAAGGGACACTGCAGTAGTCTTCTAACTTGTACATACATACACATTGACATACAATTTCGCATCAGATTATTTGTCCCAGTTACTTCACAAAAAATTGGCTTCTTATTCCTTGCGAAAAACTATTTCACCCTACAAAGCACACAGATCCGACACGTTTTAGTAACGATTCCCACCCATAGGACTCAGCACCCAAACATACGCGGATGCTCTTAGATTCCATTCAGAAACGAATCATTCGCCTTGTTGAGGATGCCACACTCACTAATTTCTTGACATCGTTTGGAAAATCGACTACCCTTCACTTTTCTTTAGATACTTCCACGGAAAACGTTCCTAGGAAATCTCGGCCATCATTTTATTACAAGCAATACCAGTAAGACGAACTTGACAAGTTCAGTCAGCACATACAAGATTTATGTCGAGCAACCCTCTAGCCAAAATTGTTTGTCTATAGAGCGGTCAAGTTTTGGAATTCTTTGCCTAAAGAAGTATTCCCAAGAACTCATACCCTCAGAAAATTTCTGTTTCCACTCTTTCTGCCTATACTTAATCACACGATGTTTTTCAAACATAATAGGGATCTCCTTCCGTGCGCTCGAATGATCGATTTCATAACAAGATGTATATTTATACTTTCGAGTTATATTTTGTAATCATTTTGAGTGAACGTATCATCATTTTTATGATTATTATCATTATTATTATTATAATTATGCTTATCATTATTATTGTGTGTTTCTTCAAGGAAAATATCAAGTATGCTATTCGGTTGAGAAACCATGGTGGTCGAACCAATAATGGCGACGGAGGACTCAGTTCTGTTAAAGGCTCTGATAATACAATATTCACTTTCTCAACTTGCTCATTGAGCTTCAATGGAACAACTCTCACCAGAGGACAGATTCCCATTATACTTTATTACAGGTAATTCATTTTCGTAGAGAATATTCGAAATCAAATGATCTTGAACCTAAATGAATGATTTCTTTACTGAAATGAAAGAATCTATATTTAAACGTCAGTATATTTTTCAGCAATCCTCTTGAATATGGAAGAGCAGCTACCACAAAGCTTGAGCAACAGGCTCGTAACACAGCTCTATCAATGACTAGCGCCATCATAGAAAAAACAAGCAATCTGATGGTAATAGCTAGAGAGAAAGCTGATGATGTTCCTTCGGCAGACATATTGAGTAAATCTTGCATAGTAACAACATTGCTTCCATTAGTTTTGGCTCATATCAGTCCATTGGCAACCAGCGATTCGAAGGTTTGTTTAGGTTTATCAGTAATGAATTTTGAAATAAGGACTCTACATAGTATCATTGTCACTATATACTTTTCAGAGCGCTGTTCATATACTGAATCTCATTCAGGAGCTATTACCTCATGTAGCAGCTCTTAATCTCATGAGCCAATCTGTGAGCCTTAATAATAAGTCACTTATATCTGTCAGTTCGTGTTCCAATCAAGACATCATAGAATATAAAGCTGATACTACTAGTCATCACTACACATTGGTAGAAAGTGATCATCCATATAAGCCTTCAACAGTGTCAAATTACAGGTAAATGATTCCACACAACATGGTATATGTTTATTTTTCAGAGATAGTAGAGGGGTGTTTTAATCTAGCATAGATCATCAGTGATACTTGATCTCTGATAAGTACGGTGTAGCCACTAATCACTTCATCCTTTTTGAAATGAAGAATTCGAAGAAAAAAATAATTACGTTGATTAACAACAACTGTTATTTCATACAACTGTGACTTCATAGAGGGAATATGAAATAAGGAATGGGATAAGAAAGTTATAATATATGAGAAATATTTGTGTTAGGTTTTGGAACGAAAAATATTAAAGTTTCATTTTTGAATGTGGTCTTGCGCGAAAATGGAGGTAAAAACAGTGAACCCAAAGCAGATCGCAAAAAGTCTTCAGCGACAAATTTGTGCCTCGATTCACCGACTACTTAGTATTGGCTTGACCGCCGGACTTGCTATTTTCGTTCGTTCGATACGAATTTCGCTACTTCGCTTTTTTCGCTATTTCCGCTTATAAATTATTATTTCGCTAATTCAATAAAATGCAACAGTGATCGTCGCATGAGCAATACATTGCTGCTTTTGCTACGTTATAAGAACAGGTGCTACACTTTGAAGAATACCGGCATCCAGGGAGCTCCCGAGAAGTGACAAATCCAGCTTTCTTGGATTTCTCTAAATAAGATACCACTGATCGTCTATGGTAAGCTGTTTTGACTCCTCGCTATATCATACCACAATTTAAAAGTTAGTTTTGCGCCTTTGATTAGAAACAATTCATTTTTCTTGTACCACATTAGAGCTATTGAATGCCTTTGTGGCGCACAATTTGTACTTCTTTGAAAATGGAGTACGCATGTGCAAATGTCAGGTTGACAGTTGATAAGTTATTGTCTAAGAAGCATAGTTCGATTGGTCACATTGGTTTTGTGTTACTTGTGTGATTGGTCCATTCCTATTACTTATTAAATCTTTATTTTAATATGTTGTATGAATTGGTCTCCATAATTCTTATTTCATAAAATATTTTACTTCTTATTTTTGTTTGCTGTACAAACACGCTGCATTCTAATAATAATTGTGTTAAATATTGAGATAATCAGAGTATGTTTGATATATCTAGTTTTTGGTACACATGGATAACTAATTGGTCAGGTCGGAAATTTCTTGAAACCATGATTTGCTTCATTTATTAGCAAAATACAGTATGATGTAAATGTATCGAAAAAATTCCTTATTTTAATAAGAGGCTTTTCAAAAAATCCAAAATCACGTGAAATTTAGTTTTTGAATGCTCATCTCATATTCATATTAGAGGTGTTATGCCACTGGTATCGAAATAATGACAGACCTTTGCAAAATGCAATTCAACAAATGAACATTCATTGTGATTCCAATCTCCTAATACAAAATTTTGGTTGACCCTGTAAATACATAATGCAATTGAAAGTGACTTGATTATTTCATCTTCATGGTTGTCCTATAATAAACTGAGTATAAATTACAGCAAATCAGCATTCATGTATATCTCTAAACGACGCCTCTCAAGTGAACTGAAATTTGATATCAAATTCAATAATGAGATCATCAAATATTCCACAGCCATCAAATTCCTTGGGATATTCCTTGATGAACATTTGTCATGTTCGAAAAATATTGAATCGATCAGGAAGAAAATATTTCCAGTAATCGGAGTACTCTACACTACTCTACAGGATCAGACACCAAATCACTTTGAAATACTTGAAATGTATATATTTTTCCTTGGTTTATTCAAAATTACAATACTTGATTTCAGTTTGGGGTACAGCTAGATTATCAATCATGAAGCCAATCAAAATCCTTCAAAACAAAGTTATTAAATGTATATACAAACTAGATTACTTGGAACCAACAAGAAATCTTTATAAACCTAGGCAATTGTTAGATATTCAACAGTCTCTAGAAGAAAAAACATTATATGTATTATGCATATGATTTAAAAATGATTATCTGATTATCTAATTTCTGTTTTTTTTAGTTGCTCTTTCATAATTTTCCCTGCTATAAACATATATGTTTCTTGGGAATAATAATAAAGATAAAGATTTTTTTATACTGTTGGATACACAATTTGTAGAATCGTCCATTACGTCATTACTCCAACACCGGTGACGTAACATCTCATATGAATACATGAGATGGAGCTTCAAAAATCAAAACCCACTTGTTTCTCCATTTTTATTCAAAAGTCGCCTATTTCTAGAATATTGAATTTATTCCATACATTACATCATATTGTACATATGGTATTCACAAGTTTCTTGTTTTGTTCAATTTTGTATTCATTTTTCCATTTATCCGTTGAACATTAATTTTTTCAACACAAAAATAGAACGAATTGAATTGGGTTGTGTGTTTGTGATAGTCAATGTTTATTGACATACGATCTATAACATAGAAACTACCTATTATTTCATCTATTATAATATGTTCAATTTCAGAGTCCTGTTTCCAGAAAGTGTCAAATGGATGAGTTTAGATTTTGATTCTGCTTGTGCTACTGTACAACCTGAGGATTTACTACAACTTTTTGTGCCAGCACTCAAACAAACTGATAGAAAGCATTTCAGTTGCTTGGACGATGGCGAAACTCCTTTACCCTATTGGCCTGTTCTCCATAAATTTAGTGGAAGGTGTGTATTGGTTGACAGACTGTTTTTTGTTATCTTACATTCGATAAATAATTACCTTATACAAAAACATGAAATCCAATTATTATTGGAACAAACTGGCCACACAAGATTCCTTTTTTCTGTGACGGGAAAAAAAGGTGGCATTTCATCTCTGTTGGCAGGTTATAAAATGCCACTTTTCGTAAATTACTTTTTTCCCGTGGGCAAAAAGTGAGTACTTTTTTCCCGGATATATATCACATATATATACACTGTTGATGGCTTTTGTTGAGCTATAGTTCCGAAAAATGAGTCAATAATACCGTCTCCGAGAAAGAACTGCAAGTCCTTATCTTCAATTCGACTTCGCGGTTACGTATATAACTAAACAACCACTAAATTCACAATTTTTTGAAATCAAATCACAGAATGAGACTGACAGAAGTGACATCAAATATTTGATAACTTCAAAAGAATGATAAAGATGTCTATAGAACGCAGGTGTCCCTACTGTTAAAAACTTAAAATTTCACGTCGATAATTTTCAGATTTCAAAATAATGTAACATTTCCTCAATATTGATTCGTCCTTTCTTCTGTCACAGAAAAAAATAGTGTATTATACACGGGAAAAATATTAGATTTTAGCTCACGGTTTTTTGTCTCCCTCCGCTACGCGTCGGGAGACAACACAACCTGGAGCTAAAATCTACAACTTTTTTCCCTTGTATAATAAATAACTATTTCATAAGATCGATAGTTCCATTATTTATAGTATTATACAGGGTGTTTCAGTTTTTTGTAGCAGGACTTTAACAGCTTGAAGAAGACATTTTTTCAAGATGAAAATCTCAAACAAACATATATGCGTGGGAGCTTCGTTTCCGATTTACAGGGTGTCAAAGTTCATCATCATTTTTATGTTTTTTGAATTTTCTCCTACAATTTTCGGAATAATTGATACCTGGTACACCTAATACACTTCGAAAACTTAATATTTGAGGCTATTGAGCATTTTTGAATACCTACAGGGTGATAGACTTTCAGGGGTCGTACCCAATTCAACCCTGTAGAACTTTTTTGCGTGCCGCCTCTGCTTTCAATGGGATATAGATTCAGTTGTCTCTGCAATTTGGAAACTTTTTGCCCCCATGTATGTTTTTCGAAAACACGTTCACGAGATTGAATTATTAAAACCCACAACACCTCAACCGTCAGAAGCGACAATCTAGCGATGTATAGCGCCCAGACCATGTGTCATACAGTCCCTGATATCGAAAGTTTAACCAGTTTCAGTTATACAGGGTGTCCTAGAATTTTCTACAATACAATTTCAGATTTTGCAATCCAGTTAGAGAAGTTTTTTAAAATAAAAGCATTTTTTCTTTGTTTTTCCTAGTTTTAATTATAATGGTGTTCAAAAAAATCAATCTAATTTTGCAACTGGATATCATTTTGGTATGGAAGCTTTCGGTCATTCTATTTTCCAATGAAATGTTTGAGAAATTTCAAATTAGTGTGTTTGAGAAATAACGGTTTTATGACAAGTAATTAATTTTTGGCATTTATCTCGAGATCCATACAGTTTTCGAAAAATTTACATAGTGGCAAAAAGTTTCCAAATTGAAAGGACAATCTGAATCTATGTCCCATTGAAAGCAGATACGGCACGCAAAAAAGTTCTACAGGGTTAAATTGGGTACGACACCTGAAAGTCTATCACCCTGTAGGTATTCAAAAACGCTCAATAGCCTCAAATATTAAGTTTATGAAGTGTATTAGGTGTACTGAATTTCAATCAATTATTCCGAGAATTGTAGGAGAAAATTCAAAAAACATAAAAATGATCTGAAACTTTGACACCCTGTAAATCGGAAACGAAGCTTCCACGCATATATGTTTGTATGAGATTCTCATCTTAAAAAAATGTCTTCTTCAAGCATTTGAAGTCCTGCTACAAAAAACTGAAACACCCTGTATATCAATTCCGACTAAACATCAACTTAATCCTATCCTGAGTAATATTTGGATGGGGTGGTGTGAAACAAACATTTTTGAAGAAATTGGAAATTATCCAAAAATTGATATCAAAAATTATTTATGAAAAAGATTATTTATATTCCACAGGTCTATCAGACAAAGAATCTAAAAAAGGAAATAAATCAGCTATATATTTATTTATTTATTTCATTTTCGCTATAAACATTACATTGCATCTCATATAAATATAATCATTAACTTTACTTGATTCTTTGGTATTTTCTCTCCTCGTTTCTATAAAATAAAAGTATTCGTATTATTTCAATATATTTGTAGAGGGACAAATCAGATGATTTGCCCCAAAATGTCACTGCGTTTAACAAATTTTTCTATCAGGGAGTCCAAAAGAAAAATCCAGTAGCTTGTCAGTGACAATTTGTTTGAAAAAATGTTCTAAAACATGTTCGAAGGAAAGAAATATAGATATATTGAAAAAATATCGAATTTTTACTGGATTTTTCTTTTAGACTCCCTGATAGAAAAATTTGTTGAACGCAGAGACATTTTGGGGCAAATCATCTGATTTGTCCCTCTACAAATATATTGAAATAATACGAATACTTTCATTTTATAGAAACGAGGAGAGAAAACTCAAAGAATCAAGTAAAATGAATGTACCACCTCCTGGATTAACCTACAGACAGTATATAATCATCAACATTTACAATGGAATAACATGAATAATCAGACAGATTCATATCTGGTATGAGACTATTCATGCGTTATCAAATTGAATTATAGTTATTGAAATAAACAACAGAATCAAAATAAAATAATAATAAAACAAAAAGCTCATGAAAAGTACATTATGATATGATGAAATAAATTAGTGAATGAGAAATCATTCAGTCAGGTTTGGTTTTCTCTTTGCAAGAGGATATGTTTCTTGACTTTGATTTTGAATTGGGTGATATTTGTGCAACTTTTGATATCATCAGGTAATTTATTGAATTTTGAGATAGCTCCGTGAGTGAACTTTTTTTGAACAAGTGAAGAATTAGCAGCATCAAGATGAAACAAGTCATATTGTCTAGTATGATGTTCATGAATTTGAGAATTCCTTACCAATATGAAGTTAGATTTGAGGTGTTTGTTGATAATATCAAAAGAAATTTTGAGAGTATTCATCAGATAATGCTCTTCCAAAAAAAAAAAGGAATTTGTTTCTTCATAAAGTTGATTTGATGGGGTGTCATATGGAAGACGATACAGTACTCTTAATGCTTTTGTATAGTACAGATATTTTGAAATTATTCTTGGAACATGAAACCCAAATATTTATGAGATAGTTCATTTTACTAAGGATGTGAGAGTATAGAACGGTATTTGCTATATTTGGGATAACTAAAATTAATAACTGCGAGTCTAAGATACTATATTTAAACAAAGGGGTTCCTCAAGGATCAGTGTTGGGTCCAATTCTTTATCTATTATACATTCAAAATATTGAAAGAATGAATTTGATAGAAAACTATACCATATATGCAGACGATACAGTGCTTCTATATGAGAATAAAAACCCAGTAGTTCTAGAACATATCATAAATGAGGACTTGAAAAAAGTTGAGAAATGGCTTTATTCCAATCTTCTTTCTCTCAATTCTAATAAGACTCAATATATGATTTTTCGTCACAGAAATAAACAAAATATTGATCTGAATATTAGAATAAAAAATGAACGTTTGAAACAAACTGCCCATACCAAATACCTTGGTATTTGGATTGATGAGAAATTAACATGGGGAAAGCATATAGACATCCTAATAGGAAAGGTATCTCCCATTATTGGTGCTTTGAGAAGATGTCCTAAACTTAGTACATATACATCAAATATTATTCTCTATTCACATATACTCAGTCGAATTAACTATCTCATAAATATTTGGGGATCTTGTTCCAAAAATAGTTTCAACAAAATTTCTGTTCTATGTATATAAAAAGGCATTGAAAGTATTGTATCGTCTTCCATATGATACTCCAACGAATCAACTGTATAAGGAAACAAACACATTTTCTTTGGAAGAGCACTTTTTAATCAATACTCTCAAAATTTCCTATTATATCATCAACAAAAAGCTTAAATCAAATTTTATATTAATCAGGAATTCCGAAATTCATGATCATCACACTAGACAATATAACTTGTTTCATCTTGAAGCTGCAAATTCTAAACTTGGACAAAAAAAGTTTACACATGAGGCGATTTCGAAATTCAATAATTTACCAGATGATATCAAAAACAGCCCAAATATTATGCAATTCAAAAATAAAGTTAAGAAATATATTTATATGCAAAGGAATGATCAAAGCTGAAAGACTATGATTTTCCTTTTTTCTTTTTTTTCACTGTTTTTATTTTTCCCCTTCTTGTTCACTATAATATGTCTGTATCTTAATGATATGTAAGTTTTGTTCACTATTTGTAATTTCAATTATACAACAGTCGATAATACTTCATGAATGATCTTATACCAGGAATTACTGTCTGATCATTCATGTCATTCCTACTAGAAAATTAATTATACTTTATATATTATTTGTATGAAATGTATCAATGAAGAAGAGAATGTAATGCAATAACTGAAATAAATAAATAAAATAAATAAATCTTCTCAAGGCACCAACTATGACGGAAATTTTTTCTTTGTTAACTTTGCATCAATTCAAATACCAAGGTATTTGGTATAGGCAGTTCTCTATTCAACTAAGTATCACAATTTGATATTCGTTCATTAATTGCATGGCTGTTGAATTGCATTTTATTGAAATACATCAAGTTGGCTGTGGCCCGAATACAAGGACATTTCGATGTTTGATAGGCTTAGAAGTCCAAAGATTATTAGACGAAATTTTCAGAATATTTTCCATACCCTAACTGGTCCCAGAAGTATGCCAATAATTTCATTGAGTTTAAAAAAATCATCCGAAAATAACTCACGATATTGAGAAAACTAAGATAGAAACTCAGCTTTTTCATTTTTTTTTTTCATTTGGATCATAAGTCTGCATTAGTGTATTGTCTGTATCATTTCGCTTATCAAATTGTGATACATAGTTGAATAGAAAATATTGAGGCGAATATGAAAAGCTACAGAAATATAAGGATGCCATTTAAAAAAAAAAGTTGGTTCTACTTCCGATCAAACATGTGCTTGAAGAAAATTTTCATTGAGTTCAAGGGAAGCGCCATCATCGATAATATAACCCTTGTGAATTTCAAATTTTTATCTCTTCAAATAAAAAAGGCTGTTACATATCTCCTGTGTCACCCGGTATATAGAATATTGAGAGCCAATATATCAATTATTAGATAAAATAATAGGAAATATAAATAGGAAATAGGGAAGGTATTGAAGCCCTTACGTGCTCACTGTATACAGGGTAACTCACGGTCCATGGTACGTTAGATGTTTACGGAGAACGGGACATAGGATCATTCTGAAATTTTGGTTACTCACGTAGTTGCTCTTGGTCTATCGATCTAAAATATTTTCAGCTCTGCGGCGTTGCCGCTTCTATCGAAAAGTAGCAACAACTTTGTTATTTTAAATGGAAAACCCTGTATTTTATTGCATTTTCAGATTCTCTTTGAAGAGCTGATCATCGATGTATCACACTTGGGGTCTAGCGGAAATGATTACAGAGATATAGGGTGTGAAAAATCGACATTTTTAAACTTTAGGAATTTTTTTTGTCGAAACTATTCATTATTGGTCAAAACGGCTCACATGTCCCTATCCCAACTTTTGATCAACTATCTACTGACATTTGATTGAAACAAATACAGGGTGGTGCAGAATTCAGAATCTTGAGCACCCGGTATATGTCCCAATTAAATATCAGTAGATAGTTAATCGAAAGTTGAGATAGGGACATGTAAGCCGTTTCGACCAATAATGAATATTTTCGACAAAAAAATTTCCTAAAGTTGAAAAATGTCGATTTTTCACACCCTATATCTCTGTAATCATTTCCGCTAGACCCCAAGTGTGATACATCGATGGAATTAGCTCTTCAGAGAGAATCTGAAAATGAAATAAAATACAGGGTGTTCCATTTAAAATAACAAAGTTGTTGCTACTTTTCGATAGAAGCGGCAACGCCGCAGAGCTGAAAATATTTTTGATCGATAGACCAAGAGCAACTACGTGAGTAACCAAAATTTCAGAATGATCCTATGTCCCGTTCTCCATAAACGTCTAACGTTCCATCGACCGTGAGTTACCCTGTATAGTCTTCATTGTTAAGGCATCTGCTTCTAAATGGTATAATCTAATCGAATATGTCGCATGTTAACCTATTTCCTTTTCAGTTTGCAGTGGCCCACGAGTTCTGTGATTCTACCTGGTAATGAAGTCATTTTCTCACTCGAAACAGCTTCCGACTATCTCAAAGACGAACGTCAGAGCGCCTACGGATTCAAATGCCTCGTCATCGGATATGAATGGCCACCAGAGAGCAATGGCAGCGTGAACCTCGAATTGAAACATCTGGAGGCAGAACTATCGTTCTTGGGTGGAATGTGCGCCGCAAGTTTGATGAAGAAGGATATTCTCCTGCCCATCGTAGGAGGTGAGATTTATTTTATTTATTTATTGAACAAATAACTTCCAGACAGAATAGGCTCTGGTATAAGGAAGTACATAATTATATACCTATAGGTAAACATTTCATCATTCAAAATATTATATCAACAACTATAAATTGGCAAACAAAGAATAATATTTGTATAAAAAACATAGTAAAATAACATGATTAATTTTATTCAGTTCGCTCAGAAATAATCAGTTTTTTTACTTCATTTTTGAATGTACCTATATTTCTGCAATTTTTGATAATGCCAGGTAGTTTATTGAATTCAGTTAAGGCTGAATGAGTGAATCTTTTTTGTCCGACTACTCGAAATAATTTACATTTTCGAGTAAACACAAATTATCAATCAAAATTTTTTTAGCCTACTGCGATCACCAAAACTCCAGCAAAAAAACAAAACGGATTGGATATTTTTTTAACAAAATTTTGATGTAGGCAATCGATTCGGCCTAGTCACAAATACTCCTATATTAATTTTCGAAACAGTATCTCAAACAGGGTGTTTTTGATCAACGTTGCAATTTTTGAATAATAACACCGAGTATAATATGATTCTTAGAATTTGAATGATATCGGGATTGATGGTAAAAATCACTATAAATTTAGATTTTTCACCAAGAAATAAGCAGAGACTATATGATATCTATGAAAAAATAATATAAAAAATTAGACAAAGGACAAAACAGCAATTATTTCTAACAATTTCTGATTTTTGTATTGTCGGTCAAATTTCCTTATTCATTCTCTACACACTTTTCATATCCCTTTCGTACGTTATTTTGAACTATTCTCAGTTCTTCTGGTGGTATATGTGTGCAAACTGTTTATATGTCGCAACTCTTTCGTATTTCTTGGCCTCAATTTTTTAACCTTGCAGGAGCAAAATGTAACACTATATTGAAAATAATTATGATGATAATAATGATTATTCCACTCATTTCAAAATACATGTTTTTGATTGGTTGAAATATCTGTGTTGATAATCGAAAACACGATGTTTTTGTTTTTGTGTTTCAGCTGTTGATTGGCTGCTAGGTTCCTAAATATGCTGTGTTCTCGGTTTTGTATTTTGCTTCCCCATTGGTAATTTGATCAAATATAGAACAAAATCACTCACTAGACGTACATACATGCAGCAGGCTGTCATTGACATGGATGTCATTATATTTTTATATTCAGGGATAAATAACACAACACTAAACTTCAGACAAAATGGTGATAGGCATCGAATTTCAATTTGTATCGAAGAATTTTAGACCAATTTTGTATGATGGGCATTCAAAAAACATTTTTTATGTCAACCCAACCTTCCGACCTCTAACCTCCTTGAATTCCAATAACTCGACACTAGCGTCTGACATGAAATACTTGTTTTATTCATGAAATAATGAGTGTAATAATCTTAACAAGTACAACTTGTTTCATTGACGATTATCGAAAATTTCTTCGGACTTTTTCAAAAGGATGCTATGAAAGGCCACAAGAAGAGCCCAGTATACGCCACAAATGAACAAAAGTAAAAACAAGATAATACTTACTTGAAAGAATTAATGAAGCTGTGAAAGAAATTGAAAAGAAGCATTTTCAAATTTCAAAGGCTTCACGAGAAAATGGAATTCAATTTGAAAATCTTTTGTATCTAATAATTGGTAATTTATTTTCATTTCTGTATTTTCTTCTACTTTGTTCAGTGAAACCTATTTCTTTCTAAGTTTTTTTTTTCAAAAATATCCGAATTTTCCCAAATATTATGGTTCGTGGAAAAATACCCTTTCTTTTAATATCTACCGTCGATGTTTCAATATAAAATATCGTGGGTGCAATGAAAAGATGAATTGAACAGCAATTATGGTAGGTACCTTTTTGAAAAAATAGCACTTCTTTTATTCTCTTCATACAACCCTGATCTTTAGGAGTTACACAGTAGAATTTGATCTGATTGAATGCTATCTAAACTGAACAAGACTACTATTTTTAAGTGAAAATGTTAAAATTGTCATGATTCTTCCTTGCCAAATTGTCAAAATTGCATAGACGAAAAAGTTTTAAAAAAAGTGCTAGAAGCCCCTCATATTCCCCGCGCCGCTGACTAAAATTGAGACATATTCCTATTATTTTTAGCTTGGGCATTAAAAGTTAGTTTATTTACAAAATTTGGTGATTTCATCACCAAGGGATTCGAAAATATTCACGCAAAAACCTTCATCTTAGACTCTGAAGTCTAAAGGGCCATTTCTGGGCCCATGTTTATGTAAACTTTTATGACAATTTTTGTTCCTAGAATCTGCAGTCAAAATCTCCATGTAAATTTGGGACATCCTGTATACTGATACTAACTGCTACAGGTGGACAATGCTTCATAACTTGAATATGGAGGCGCAGTTTTTTAAAAAAATATAGCAAGTTTACTGTACATTTCCAATTTTTCAGATGAAGCTGACATAGACACTGAAATGGCAGAGAACACAGCTTCTGACATTTTCATGCGTCATGGACCTTTATTATCGAAAGGTTTGGCTTTGAGTTCACCGCCCACCGTACATCAAGCTTTGGATGGAATGCTGCCATACAGGTGAGTCTTATACGAATCTCAGTTTGCAAACAATATAATTTATTTATTTATTCATTCATTCATTTATTAATTTATTTAATATTTATTTTTCAAATACTGTCTGTAGGTTAATCGAGGAGGTGGTACATTCATTTTACTTGGTTCTTTGGGATTTTCTCTCCTCGTTTCTATAAAATAAAAATATTCGTATTATTTCAATATATTTGTAGAGGGACAAATCAGATGATTTGCCCCAAAATGTCACTGCGTTTAACAAATTTTTCTATCAGGGAGTCTAAAAGAAAAATCCAGTAGCTTGTCAGTGACAATTTGTTTGAAAAAATTTTTGAAGGAAAGAAATATAGATATATTGAAAAAATATCGAATTTGTACTTATCTTTGGACGTTTCGGGACCGATTCTGCTCCCGTTCTCAACATGTAAATGCAAATTATTTTTCTTTGAAAGTTGTGCTGCGTATATAGTTTGACACTTTTCAGTGTCATACTGATGTTGGCATATGAATGAGTGATTTTAGTCTACAAATGAGTTACAGGATGTTTTCATTAATTGATCTTGAATCTACCATTTTCATGTTCAGTTTTCAGTAGTGAAAATGGTAGATTCAAGATCAATTAATGAAAACATCCTGTAACTCATTTGTAGACTAAAATCACTCATTCATATGCCAACATCAGTATGACACTGAAAAGTGTCAAACTATATACGCAGCACAACTTTCAAAGAAAAATAATTTGCATTTACATGTTGAGAACGGGAGCAGAATCGGTCCCGAAACGTCCAAAGATAAGTACAAATTCGATATTTTTTCAATATATCTATATTTCTTTCCTTCAAAAATTTTTTCAAACAAATTGTCACTGACAAGCTACTGGATTTTTCTTTTAGACTCCCTGATAGAAAAATTTGTTAAACGCAGTGACATTTTGGGGCAAATCATCTGATTTGTCCCTCTACAAATATATTGAAATAATACGAATATTTTTATTTTATAGAAACGAGGAGAAAAAATCCCAAAGAACCAAGTAAAATTTATTTTTCAAATAAAGTAAAATCTCCATTTGTCATTGAATATTTTTTACATGTATATATATTTCATATTGGATCTCTTTCACATGGATAGTGACCTGTGTGTGGAAGAGACGAATTACTTCACGTACAAAATTATTTTACCATAATATGAATACTGAAACTGAAAACAAATAATCAATTCACACGATAAGTCAACTTTTAACTTCGTTTTTGAAAGTTATGATATATAGACGTTTTAATTTTGATGGTATTTTAGTATGCATTTTAGATCCAATAAAACTAGAATATTTTTCTAAAATTCTAAGTTTAAGGTTTTCAAGTCTTACCTTGTTGATTTTGTTTCTTGTATCATAACTATGATTGATTTTATTTGTTATTGCCGAATTCTTTTTAATGAAGATTATTGACGCCCTAAAGAATAATTGCCTGACATTCAATATATCATTTTCTGAAAATAATGATGTTGATGGATAATCAAATGATTCACGGAATATTATCTTCAAAACACATTTTTGAATACATATTAAAGGTTTTAGATGAGTTTCATACATATCACCCCATCCAACTATTCGATGCGATAATATAGATTGGAAGAGATTGTGATAAAACATAATTATAAAATGTCTACTGACAATATTTCGCAATAGTCTGAATTTTGGAAGGGTACTTCTGAGTTCGTTTGTTTGTTAGTTGCAAATCAAATGAGCATCGTTATATTTTTCACAGTCTCAAATATAGTGCTTCCATTTAGTGCTAAATCTACAGTGGAAAAAATGTGTTGTTGGCGTTGTCAGTGATTGTTGTCATTGATTACTGTATTTTTCTCACTATCGCTTCGCCAACTTTATAATTTAAAATCATTGAAAAATGGTATAAGCGAATAACGCAAAAATCGTTGGAGCTAGACAATTTGAAAAAGAGTAAATTCTTTATGTAAAATTGAACAGGCTTTCAGATTTTTCACTTATTTTGATCATCATTCAATGGACAAAGATGATATGTTGTAACATACCTAAGGAACAAATTGCCACTAGCACCCTGTCTGAGCAATCAAAAAATGAGTTGAAAATTCCTAATTCTCATGTCAAAAAACCTTAAACTACAGAATTTTATGTTCTTGCTGTAAAAACTTACAAAGTTATTGAAAAATTTTAAAATTTAATCTTCCCTAAGAACACCCTCTATCTCCTGAACCAGCAATATTCTTATCAGGCATGTTGGGCTGAATCTTATTATCATAGTGCTTACTGTCTGTGGTTCAGAGATTTTCCAATATCAATGAATCACCCTATATAGAAATCAGAACACATGTGGGATAAATAGACAGAAAATGGTCCTAAAGGTATTTCATGTTGTGCTGAAAGATGCTGCAGTTCCGGCTCAAAATACAACAGAACAAAAAGTGGAAGGATAGAAGCAAGCTGTTCCACTGATTGGTTCAAGAGTTCTTTCTCACCTCACGCTTTAAGGTTGCCAGGAAAAAAAGTGCTCATCGGAGATAACCTTTGCCAATATTGCATTTATTTTCCTACCTCCTAATTCTACGTACTTGACACAACCTCTAGATGGTGCATTTTTTCGGCCATTAAAATCAGCATGGAGGCCGGTATTGTTGAAATGGAAAATAGAAGACCCACAATTATTTTCCTTGAAGAAGGAGAAGTTTTCAATGTTGTTGAAAAATACTTTAGATAAAATTAATGAACCGTTCAACCATGCAGGTGATGCAATAAGGCACAATTTGAAAAGCGGCTTCAAAGCGACTGGTGTGCTCCTTGCAATCCAGAAAAGGTATTGAATAAAATTCGAAACAAGAATAAAGAAATTGAGCCATTTTATAGGTTCGATTATATTGTTCAAGAACATGAAAAACTATAAATTTAAACCCATTTTGATGTTACTATTTTTACACCACAAGCAAGTGCTTCAACTACTTTTCTATACGGTGGTAAAAGTTGTAAGATCTTGAAAACACCTATTCCCAATTCTTGTGTGGCAAAAGGTGGCATGTGACCCCAAAATCAAAGCCACTGGCTGCTTCCTCGTACTCGGAATTTCCCTGATGCCTGGTCCCCTTGAGAACAACATACCCAGATGGAGTGAAATGACATTTTTGGAAGAAAATCTATTAAAATTTTCTACATTTCATCTACATAATTTAACTCTGTCTGTCTGTGTTCATATTTGAATATTAGGTATTATCTATTGTTTTCTGTTTCGTAACGTTTCAGATTTTGTTGGTGTGAAAGAGAATTCAAAAATTCCAATTATCCATCAAATCTACCAATGAATAAAAGAACATAAACTATAGACTATAGATTTTGAATATGGTGCAGATTGAAACTAAATAATGCCCATAAATACATGTCCAGGGTGGATCAAAATCAATAATACCTTCAAGTAAAATTCGAAAAATATAAATAAATATAAAGTTCCCTCGCATTTTCACATAGCTTTATTAGCTACAGAAGCACCTTGCACCGCTATTGTTTTGATTGATGTTTCCAGTAAACTAATTTTGCTTGATTTCAGTCTGTGTGGATTTGATAAAAATGTGAGGGTTACTTAGCTGTGTGCACGTGTAGATATTCAAATAATTGTACAAAATGTATTTTATGCAAAATAATTCATCCAATTTTTCGTAGCAGAATTCTTTCGACTATACAGTCATCATCAGTGCGTACTCGTCAGGTTGACAAGAAAATTATCCATAAAAATATATTTGGTCCTGTTTGATACTATTAACATATGGCTAATTACGGTACAAATCAAAATTTCAAGTAGGAAAAAGCCAAATACTCAAAGTGGAATGCAATGGTCACAAAGAGAGAAACTCAAAGTCATTACCACAATAGTTCATAAAATGAACGAAAATGGTAGATAACGAGAGAAAATCAACTACTTTCCTGGCCACGCAGAACATTGTATAACATCCTCCCGTAATCTATGCAATGATTCGTATAGACGAATAAAATCGCAAGTGTTTCCTTCCTAAACGCCGAGCTGCGCTTAAGTGGTTCAGGAACGTGTGACTACCTGCAGACCGGTTTCAAGCTGTTGGCTCTCATCAGTACAGGGCTGTCCCAGATAGTTTCTTGACCGCTATCTGGTGCGAATCTGACCCAACAGAAACGCATCTCAGCATTTATATCCCACGAGGCGTACAACGTCCGCGAAATGAAACGCGAACGCCGAACGCAACCTGGCAAGGAAGGAAACAGTCCAAAACAATCTCCCATTTCAGGTGAAATGGGAGTGGCTGGTTGCCCGACTGGCGTATTTTCAAGTGGGAAAAGCCAAATACTCAAAGTGGAATGCAATAGTCACAAAGAGATTTCGGGAGGATGCAATACAATGTTCTGCGTGGCATATAGCCAGGAAAATAGTTGTTTTTTTCTCGTTATCTACTATATTCTTTCGTTTTATGAACTATTGTGGTAATGACTTTTTGAGTTTCTCTCTTTGTGAAAACTGGGAAAATATGCAGATTACATTTATCAAACAGCTAACATGGCTGCAGCATACTGTCATGTCGAACATGTCTATACCGTTATTAGCCCTTATGCTAATAGTACTAAATAAGACCGAAGATATTTTTATAGATAATTTTCTTGTCAACCTGACGAGTACGCACTGATGATGACTGATGAAAGAGCTCTGCTAAAAAAAATTTAATAAGTTATTTTGCACGAATTACAATTATATGATAAAAATGGCGAAAAGGAATACTAATTGCCTACTTCATTATTATTTATAGGTTGAAGTCAAATAGATCATTCTTATTTCACAGCAGTTCTTTAATGCGAAATATTTTTGTATCGGGAAAACGGAAGTATTAAAAAGCGAAAACTATGATTTATATTTATTTACAGATCAGTAGTAAGAAGATCAGTTTTTTCTACTATAACATGCAATTCAGTCTCTCTGTAAGTCCTTCCATCAGGCACTATCAAACTCAGTTGTCCATTCTTACCTTGTTTTGGTCCCCCGTATTTGTTTTTTCTATACACGAATTTATAATACATTACTAAAATCGATACTACAACTATCACTAGAATAATTACAACGCAGACAATTATAAGAGTTATATAGTAATTCGTTACTATTGAACACATGTTTGATTTGAAATCTCTCACTGTCATATACTCTTCATCATGTAAACACATAATTTCACTATAATAAGAAGTTTCTATGATTTTGTGATCTATATCCGTACAATCACATTGTTCACCAATATAGATATTTCTGTACTGTACTTTGAAGTCTGTAGTACCAAGAGAGTATCTAGTTAGTTTGGATAGACTGTTTGATTCAAATATGAACGAAATATCATTCACTTGTGTGTCTCTTTGTAAAGTGATTCCTTGGAAAGCTCCATCATTTACTTCACCAAAAACATTGTTTCTAAAAATCACAATCCCTCTAGAGACTATACTGAAGGCTTCTCCATTTAGATGACTTATATTTGTATTGGTAACTTGAAATACTTGTGGATTATAAATGGTGAATCCACTGGACCGTACTGTATTGAAATTACAATTGTCTATTGTAAAATTTTGGTAGACCGTTATGTTGGAAAACGTCCTGCTTGGTATAAAATTTGCTGATACACCATTCAGTTCCAAGTATTCAGTGGAGAATTTCTTGAATGACTGCACTTCTATATCTTTTATCACTGAATTCCTAATAGCTATTGTTTCACTTTGCAAGAGATTAGCAAAAGCAAGAGGTGATATTTTGTCTATTGTTGTAGTGTCAAAAGTGATTTCATTAATTCTTCCTGTGAAAGTATGGCTGGATATGAGAGATACATTACTTTGTGTTATCGAAATCTTCAATGACGGTACGGACATATCGAATCTTTCTTCAATATGGCCATGATTTTCTTTATATCCATACCAGTTCATGCTTCTACTATCGAATATTAGCGATTCTATGTTGTTGAGGGTTATGCTTCTTAGATTCCTCATATCACTAATAGAGTTATCTTCGAATTTGACTAGTTTACAGCCGTTGATTTCGATGGTAGTTGTGTCGAAGGCTGGAATTGATTGGCTTCTGACGATCATCTAAAAAAGGAATGAAAGTTGGATTATTTGCTCGATTTCTAAATTATTAAATTTGAAAAATAGAATTTAAAGGTCCTCTTCCGATGATACCGAGAATGAGTTTTATAATATCTTTGTTCCGGATTGAGTAGATATGATACTTTTAATACCTCAGCTTGTCATGTTGATATTGATCAAAAATCGACAGACTGTTTCAGTAGGTTTTTGTTGTATTCAGTTCACAAGTTATTTGCAAACGCATCTTTTTCCGGTGGGGCATTACGAATTATTTAGGTCCCTAACATATTTTGGAAATATGTTGAGTAAATACTGGTATCTTTACAAAAAAAGTAGTAACCCTCTGTGTCCCTCCATTCATATGGGTAGGTACAGTCGTCTTCAGAGATCATGTCGCACGTGACGGTATCAGCTCCCTTGATCACCGCTGCAATAAAAGCGTTCATACCATCCAACCGCGACATGTTCGTTCAAGACTAGTGTAAACATTTCAAAGTGGTAGCAGTTCAAATTCAATTACTTACTTCAGCTCCATTTTGACAGTAACATGCTAATGTGGCGCTAGACCCACCATGCCATTGGCATCCATATTCCCTGAGCTGTGTAATATCCTGTGATGATACGAAGCAAATTCTGACTAATAGTATAGTCAGAATTTCTTGTTTGAAGTTCATTGTTTTTTCCATGAACTACATCCTGACTTCTAGTAGTGTTGATATCTGCTGATTCAGAGAATCTAGAACTAAAGATGTATTGACTTGAAGGCTTTGTTGTTCGATTGGACTAAAAAAACTATAAATCAGTTGAAATCAGTGAGTTCGAAAATTTTAACGATCACCCCCATTCTGTCACTGCAAGATCTGTACTCTTTTGATGGAATTTGAATCATCTAATTTACAAATACTATTTATTGAAACAAAAATACACTGATAGACCTCAAGAACACTACTGAAATTTGGATCGTCTTTGCATTAATTTGTGTCAAAGCATTTGACAGACGATTAAATATTCAATTTGTTTGCATCCATAGCGTATGCCCAAGCTGATAATTAGGAAAATTGATTCCCCAAGTCAACAGAGAAATCGCACTTCGTTACGGAGTTATTGATCTTGAAAGTTTGATTAAAAAAATATATTTCATGTATAAGTTTTAAAGGGTTCAATGATATTCGGGCAGCTAATTAAATTAACTCCTACTAATGCTCCCTTCCTTTTATACAGAATGGGGCGAATTTTTTCCGTTTAATGAAGCATTATTGACAAGAGGTGACAAAACTCACATTTTGATTTCACCGTTTAATCTGTTCATCTTTTTTCTACAAAAATGGTAACATTTATTTCAATCGATATCTTGTACCGTTCTAGAGAAAATTACATTTTAAAAACATACATCCCAACCATTTCAAAGGTAATAAAAACTCTATTTATTCAATAACAGTAGTTGCAGAGCTTATAGAATGAGCCAAAATAATGTTAGTACTTCATAAAAAAATTAAATCGCACTTCGTTACGGAGCCATTGACCTTGAAAGTTCATATGGACTTGCAGAAACTTCCAAGGTCAACAATTCCGTAACGCAGTGCGGTAGACATTTTTTTATATGAAGTAATTACATCATTTTGGCTCACTCTATCTCTATAAATAGAGTTTTTATCGAAATGGTTAGGATGTATGTTTTTAAAATTCGATTTTCTCTAGAACGGTACAAGATATCGATTAAAATGAATTATACCATTTTTGTAGAAAAAAGCTGAAGGAATCAAACGGTGGAGGCAAAATGTCGAATTTGTCACCTCTTTTCAATAATTCTTCATTAAACGGAAAAAATTCGCCCTATTCTGTATAAAAGTTAAGGAGCATTAATAAGAGGTGATTTAGTTGCCAAATATCATTGATACCATGGCAACCGTTTGAAAGTTATACATGAACTATATTTTTTATATTCGAACTTTCGAGGACAATAACTCCGTAACGAAGTGCGGTAGCAGTTTTTTATATGAAGTACTGACATTATATTGGCTCACTCTGTCAGCCCTATCATTCACGACATGACTTTTCCGGACACCCTGTATATTTATACCCACTTTAGTAAAATTAATTTAAAAAAACTGGAAAATTGAGCTACCATCGACTTATTTTTTAAAATTTTGTGTATCAAAAATGAGTTAATTGTGAGGAAACTAATATCTCAAGACTTAGAGATTTAGGGAAAATTTCGTGAATCGATTACCAGCTGGTGCAAGACAGATTGTTTCAGCTTTGCCAAGCCTCATCAGTTGTACTAGGCCAGCTGACAATCGATTCACGAAGGGTACTGCTATATGTATATGGAGTCAATCAAATGCCTCGAAGGGTAGGAGGACGATCTAGTCCTAAGAGCCATCTAGTGGCGAAAGTGCAAAGGTGTATAAGTAGATTGTTCAAACAACCATACCTTGCGAGTACGTCGAATATAGACCCCTACGTCCATAGTATTACAGAAATGCAAAAATGACACAATTCTGCAGATTATCGCAACACCTGGAATTCTCAGAGTAGTTTAAACAATCTACTTATACACCTTTGCACTTTCGCCACTGGATGGTTCTTAGGACTAGATCGTCCTTCTATTCTTCGAGGCATTTGATTGACTCCCTTCGTGAATCGATTGGCAGCTGGCTTAGTGCAACTGATGAGGCTTTGCAGCAGCTGATAATTATGATATTAGTTTCCTCGCCATCTGTCTGTGGGACATTAAACCACTGTCAGAATTCCAGATGTTGCGAGTAGCATTTTTGCCTTTCAGGAATAATATGGACGTAGCGGTCTATATTCGACGCACTCGCAAGGTATGGTTGTTTAAACAATCTACTTTTACACCTTAGCACTTTTGCCACTAGATGGCTCTTAAAAATAGATCATCCTCCTACCCTTCTAGGCATTTGATTAAGGTAATTGTGTTTTATTTAACCTAGCAATGTTATGGATATGAATTATATTGATACTACATAAGTACTGTCAAGTTCATTGTAACAAAATATATTCTCACCAACTTCAGTGGATTAAAGTTGGTGAAGAATAATGGTTTGAACTTCCGAGCGATGCTTCCTGTTTGTTCGTATTTGCGGATTGCTCTACGAGCAGTTGCCTCATGAACTCTCACTGCACGAGCGGCGTAACGTTTACTACGCCCATCGTTTACTAACGCAACTAATCTTGCTACTTGTCCAGGATTTATTTGAGGCATTTTATGTAATTTTAGTCAATAAAACAAGACACTTAATTAATGACACAACGACAAATGGCCAAATATGGAGGCATACAACAAATTAGTTGCTATGGCAACGGCATTTGTTTTTTCAAAGACAATGTGATCCTACCAGAGTACAACCCAATCAATTTTGAGTACTCTGATCCTTCAATAAATTTAATTTGTGGGATAAGCGTAAGGAATTTTAGAGATAAATCAATGAATAAAAAAACAAAATGCTCGCAAAAGAAGCCTCTTTCGTATAGGGTGTAAACACTTTCCATGCCATTACTCAATTAACACACAGGGTGAGTCAAAAATTAAGAATAATTCATGGTTCGAGTTATTCCACCACCATCAAGGAGGCTTTGAAAAAATGTTCACCTCTTTATTTTTTTTCAAGACAGATGCATTACCTGCCAACAAATAAAAAAAAATAAAAATCGGCCTACTATTTTTTTTAAGAAGTTAGGTCAAATATCAAGTGCGTCTCTTTTTTTGGAACTGAGTGTATATACCTGCAATATGGAATTGTTTGATTCCAAAGATCCCAATGACGAAATTCCGAAAAGGATTTTATTCACAAACAACTGTAATAAACATCAAAAAAACAAGTATTCATAAGTACAAAGATAATTCACATACCTAACCATATCAATTAATTAGCTACATATCTAGCGCGATTATTTATTCATATTAAATTCTGTCCAATGATGTGATGTTCTTCAGGGATTATGGTCCTCTATTCCCTTTTCCGTTGTTTGTCTATTTCGTCCCGATTTTTCACTTATCGATACGTTTTGTTGATTTTTTTGTGCCAGTCTCCTCCAATTTGATTTCTAATATTGTCTGCATATTTTTTTACTTAAGGATGTATCAATTCAAATATTAGGTATTAATTGATTTTGATTGAGTTTATTCTCATTTTGTCTGTGTTAATCAACTCGAATCTGTTAATTCTCAATTTGAAACTTTTTACTCTGAATTTGAATATTCTTATTCCCCATTTGAATGTGTTTATTGTCATTTTGAATCTGTTTATCGATTTGGATGTGTTTAATTTCAATTTGAAATTGATTAGTCTCAATTCGAACTTGGAAAGATACATAATTCCCATTTCTTCCCGGGGAACTATGAGCTTACAACGATGGCAGGCCAACAATGTCAATGCAGATCTTCCTTCCTTCCTCTGGAAAGGTGGAACTCAGTATGCCTGATATAACAATGTCTGGTACCACCATTCTCACCAAAACCACTATATCTATGCTCTGTATTACCATCAACAATACTCTCTCATGGGAAAATAATGTTCGATCCATCGCACAAGCTGCTTCACTAAAACTCGGATTCTTGTTCCGTGCGAAAATCTACTTTACACCTCAACAGCTTCCCATGAATTACAAAGCACAGATACGGCCACTTTCAGAATACTGTTCTCATGCATGTGGTTCAGCACCCAAACGTACGCTGATGCTGTCAGATTTCACTTTTCTTTAGATACTTCCACGGGAAATGTTCCTCAGAAAGCTCTGCTATAATTCCATCTCTAGCAATACCAGTCAGACGAACTCGATAGGCCCAGTCAGCACATCCCTTCGTCGTTAACCTTGAAAGATGTCGAACAACACTCTACCAAAACTCGCTCGTCTAAACGACGAAGCTTTGAAATTCTTCGCCAATGGAAGTATTCCCAAAAACTTCTAACCTCCAAAAGTTACAAAAAAAATCCAACACCTACATCCTCTCCCTATCCTCCCTAATAGGTACCGACGATGTTCCACGAACATTATAGGGATTTCCCTTCGTGCGCTCCAAGTAGATAGCAACAAAATTACATAAATGCTGCTGAAATAATCTTAATTAGTCAACCGTTCAGTTGTCAAATTCTCCACAATGAGGGATAATATATGTTTAGTCGGCGCTACTGGAGCTTGAGGTTTATATCAATGTTATAATTTTCTCAATTTTAATGAATAACTAAATATTTGAAACAGTGATGTGATTAGGCTTGAGTTTTTTACATGTGAAACTTTGAAACTTTAAGCCTAATTTTACATCAACGAGAAAGAAGATATCCTAAACAAGTTACCAAATAAAACGAAAGAAGAATTTCATGTCATGCATCACCTCACGTCCCAGTAGCACTATTTGGTAGACAATAATCGATTCATGTTCATATAATTAAGAGTCATATATTTACTATATTGTGTCATACCTTCCGCTTATTTGATGAAAAATATATTTAAAATCTTTTAACTTACCATCATAATGAAGAGTTTCGATATTCTTATCCCGTAAACCGTATACCTAACAATTTTAATATACTATTATTACGTCGAACACAACTAAAATGATCGGTTCTTATTTTTTATGCAACTAGGTACAACCGCTGAACTCACAATATTTGGCTGTAAAAAAGCAAATCAATAAGAGACCAGCACGCTATGTAAACAATTCGACGAGGAAATATGTAGATAGAAATACAACAGTTTGTTTGCACAATTACTAATATTCTATAACACGTACCTCGTGAATCAGTGTCGTCAAACTCTCTGAGATTCCTTCACATTTTTCTTTGAAAACAATAAAACGAACCTAACCATGAACACGATTTTGCATTGTTACCTACTTTCAAGATTATTAAATGGGTTGATGTGCCTGCACACGGTCATATATTTCATTATTAACACCTTTGATAAGATTAGATTCGATTTATCTTTCGTAATTCCAGGTGACTACATAGGTGATACATTGTTTTATTAGCGCACATTCGTCGTAGTTTGTTCACAATAGCGAATTTTCCAATTCTCAAGTTTCATAGGTTTTCATGTGGTGGGTAGATAGTTATGTTTTAGAATAAACACTGATTTTTAGTGTCAGTAGTTCATTTCAACAAAAATTATAGTTTATTTCAGCTCATGGACGGCATCAAATCGATAAATTAATCTTTCGTTAAAAATAACTATCGATCATTTTACTAAAAATGGCTCATTGATGTCAAACAATATACCTGGTGGCTCGAAAAATTACAAACTGATAAACGTTACTCTATTATTCCATATTTCCGTATAGTTTTATTACCTTCGTATTCAACGATCCTAATGCGAACATAATGACTGTGATAATGATAATATGATCAAAGTACTCTGCGCGAGTTATCGAAAGATCTGATTGATCTGTTCGTAGTCACTTCTCTGTAACTTCTACGCCACACTCATTGTGGGTTCATTCGAATAATGTATCGTCAACCTGGAACTCTATGATATCTATTTTTGTGAACTTGAAAATTGATAAAACTCTCAAACCATTCCCAAGAAACATTCTTTTGCGGTAAACTGAACATGACTAGCTAGTAGCTACTCTAGTTAGTATCTTAACTCATGAATTGAGTATCGGTGAGATGTAAATAATGGATCGAAACGACTAAGAGAATATTTCAAGCTGATATATTTTGATAATAATATTTCAACTAATACTCTGATATTATGAGGAAAATAATCCATTATATCATTCCATTCGGATAATCTTGGACCATTCTAGAGAAGTACAGTGTGTGAAAACTTCTTAATTATTAATTTTCTCAAAAAAAGTAATTCCTAATAAAAAGTACTGCAAGACCTACAACAAAAAATGCGAATAACAAATATCGATTTTTTTGCAGTCGAATACGAGATATGTCAAAAAATATAAATGTTGCTCAAGAGTAAAGTACCTTCATTTTCGACAATATCGAGAATTATCACATGGAAAAATTGACTGGAATTGAAAACTACGTTCAAATATCCGATAACATCTACCTACGATGAACATCATGTTTCATTATTTCTCACAATAATTTCTGATCGATTCATATGGAAAACTTCTTCATTATCAATTTTACGGAAAAAAAAAATTTGGAAAAAAGCATTTTTCATAAAAAGTTCTGCAAGGTCTAACGCCAAGAATGCATATAGCAGATATCAAATGTTTTCAGAAGAAATTGTAAACGATAATAAAACAAAATTTGAATCGTAGATAAATGTAATTATACAGTTCTCAACACACCAAATGGACCACTCATAATTTGACTCTATTTCGAAGACCTGTATTTTTTTAAAAAATTGACCGATCTTCATGCGGTTTTCGATATCAGATGTGATATTTCATCGGCTTCAAAGAGAGCTAGAACAATCTGAAAAAGTCCGCAAAACAAAACTCACACAGGGTGTAAAGTGGAACCATTACACTATGGTCTACATTTCCAATGCTGCCAGAACTCGAGAAATTTTTTTCTGATCAAAAGTCAGTCATATTATGATACACTGGGACCTCATCTCGGGACGTTTTCGTGATTTCTCCTTAATTGGCCATTGGAACAAAAATTCGATTTTTTTTCGAAAGTCTTGCATTTCTTGATTTTTTTCTCTAGAACTCCACTTGAGCTGACTATTGGGAAGAACTGTTCTCATGTTTTATGGAGGATAATGAAAGACGAAAAAAGCACTTTTTTGGATTATACAGGATGATAAGAAACTAGGACAAAATCTCATTTCAGCGAAAAAAATCAAAAATGGTGATTAAAACTATGGCCCATTCGATCCAGTATATTCAGAAACGGCCTTCTCGATATCCATTATTTATATTAGACCATTAACTCGAGACGTTTTCGAAAATTCGCCTCTAAATGAAATACAGGATGAAAATTTCCAATTCAAACTTGTTTCCTGATATTGATGGTTTCCAATATTTATTGCCCAAGTATGAGACACAGAGTATTGTTGTTCAATGTACTGAGTGTTCTACAACTTATCTGACAAATTTCAACCGCAACTACGATATTACATAAGAAGTCTATCACAAAAAAAATTATAGGCGTAAAACGAGATGAAAAATAAAATTTGTAACACTTTATATCCACTGAAACTATTTTAAAAGGGCTCTATTGGCGAAATATGACATTATTGAATTCTTCAGCATTATGAAGATCCAACTAGAAAGTCCTATATCCTAAATTTCAGTACTTGGTAGGCCTCCCCGATTCAACAAAACCTCATGAAATCGGTTTGGCATAGATTTTATGAGGTTGATGATGAAGTCTATTGATATTGCCGCCTATTCTGGAAAAGGTTGTCATTATTTTGGGGTGCCTCGCCTTCTCGATAGGTCAAGTTTCATTCGGCTCCACACATGTTCAATCAAATTCAGATCTGGAGATAATGCTGGTCACCACATTCTTCTAACATTATTGTTTTCTAGAGTTCGTAATTTGTCAGATAAGTTGTGGAACACTCAGTATATTGAACAACAATGCTCTGTGTCTCATACTTGGGCAATTTATATTGGAAATCCGTTGAAAAAATGATGAGAATCATCGATATCAGGAAAGAAGTTTGAATTGAGAATTTTCACCCTGTATTGTCCTATTTTCTTATCACCCTTTTCAAATAGTTTTAGTTGATATAAAGTGTTACAAATTTTATTTTCCATCGCGTTTCACTTCTATTAAATTTATTTGTGATAGACTTCTCATGTAATATCGTAGTTGTAAAACGCTCAGTATATTGAACAACAATTCTCTGTTTCTCATACTTGGGAAATAAATATTGAAAATCATCGATATCAGGAAACAAGTTTGAATTGGAAATTTTCATCCTGTATTTCATTTAGAGGCGAATTTTCGAAAACGTCTCGAGTTAATGGTCTAATATAAATAATGGATATCGAGAAGGCCGTTTCTGAATATACTGGATCGAATGGGCCATAGTTTTAGTCACCAATTTTGATTTTTTTCGCTGAAATGAGATTTTGTCCTAGTTTCTTATCATCCTGTATAATCCAAAAAAGTGCTTTTTTCGTCTTTCATTATCCTCCATAAAACATGAGAACAGTTCTTCCCAATAGTCAGCTCAAGTGGAGTTCTAGAGGAAAAAATCAAGAAATGCAAGACTTTCGAAAAAAAAATCGAATTTTTGTTCCAATGGCCAATTAAGGAGAAATCACGAAAACGTTCGGAGATGAGGTCCCAGTGTATCATAATATGACTGACTTTTGATCAGAAAAAAATTTCTCGAGTTCTGGCACCATTGGAAATGTAGACCATAGTGTAATGGTTCCACTTTACACCCTGTGTGAGTTTTGTTTTGCGGACTTTTTCAGATTGTTCTAGCTCTATTTGAAGTCGATGAAACATCACATCTGATATCGAAAACCGCATGAAGATCGGTCAATTTTTAAAAAAAATACAGGTCTTCGAAATAGAGTCAAATTATGAGTGGTCCATTTGGTGTGTTGAGAACTGTATATTTGAACATAGTTCAGTAGTAAAATTCGAAAAATACCCAAATTTTGTGGTGTTTTCATGTTTGCAGCCGCGTATAACGGGAGTAATCCCCCCCCCCCAGACGATCGAAAAAAATCAGTGTTTCAATCAAAATGAATTCCATTCATCGCGTACCTATAACAAGTATCTACACTATTCCTAAAAACTGGAAAATGCCAAAACCTTTGCCAAAACTGCAGCATACAAGTTCGCGTTTTTCAACTTTTCCAGTGACAAAAAGGAAACATAAGAAAGCATGACAACCAAAATTGTAAACAAATATTGATTTGTCAGAAAAATATGTAATCTGTAGAAATGTCGCGAGTTAGGTATTCATTAAATCGTCTCACCAAGTTATACTGTAGCATTTTTTCTTGAGTCTAAGTAAACTTGAAATTTGTAATTTGAGTTTTTTTCCTTCAGGAAATTCAAATTTCCAGGTGAAATAATCAAACTGAATTTGAACCTAACGATCAATTCAAAGGCATTTGACCTTGAACAACAACAAAATTTTGCCTGCGGCGATATTTTGCCCCCTTTCCCCCTTGGAACAAAGCTGTATACGCGCCTACAGGTATGGTTATAGAGCAGTTTGATTATATTGATTTGTTAACTCATCAAAGTACCTTAGGCCTGCTTAATTGACATAGTGTGACTTGTATCACTCCTGAGTGTGAAGATTGTAGTTTTTCGAAAATCATGTCCGATTGACAAAAAAAAATTGACATGAGAAATCTCAAAATTCTATGAAGCTGTTTTAAACTTTCATTTTATCATCATTTGAGTTGGTAGCTATTGATTATAATATTGATTTGTTCTTATTAACGTACCTTAGTCCTGCATTATTGCCATAGTTGTGCCCTAAACAAACGCAAACTCATTTTTCCACTCCACCAGACTGGCTTCTGCGTTGCACTCTCAATCGATACCTTTGCCAAGGAACGTGATCTATCACCCAGAGAACAAAAAATTGCTAGCGTGTTATTATCAATGTGACGATCATCATGGAAGACGTTATGAGTATGTAATTTCTCGGTTCACGAATGTGTCAGCAATTAAGCGTTTTATCTGTGGTCTTTGCTCACCTAGAAGTAAAGCTCGCACATGTTAGTCGACGACGATATTATTTTGTTTAGGTCTCCGAGGTGCAGCTTTGGTTTATTTGGTTTGATGCATCTGTTTTCAAAGCGAGTTATTGACTTGTGGGTGAGAGTTTCAGGTATAGAGGTAGTTGTTCTCAACTAATTAACAACTCCATTTAACTTGGTTTTTATGAGATCCAATTATATCAAAGTCAACGTTTTGGTAGATACCCACTCACGCCTAAAAATACTCGAT